GGAGATTTCCCATTATATTCAATTGAAAAAGTGCATTATTTATGTATTGGCATTCAAATTCACAGCATGCTCATTGTACCTGCAGAGCTGCATGTTTTTTTGTTCAACCATGAAGGAAGAGGGACGCACATAAGAGGGAAGAAAACCAGATCTGTGGCTGCAGGCTGTCATGTGATGCAGCCATCTTTACGTCACAGTGTAGTGATTAGGCCACTGAGAGCATCAACAGGAAACTGCACCTCTCTACCTGACAGAAAAAATAGACCCCGGGTGGTTCTGTGTGAATTTAGATTCCCTTCTTGTGCATAGGCCTTTGTTGTTATTGATGGAAGCAACATGAGACACATCACTAACCTTGAGCTTCTGCATTCCTGGTGAAAACCTTCACATGTGTCTGCATTCTTTCACTCACCAAAACTAGAGATCGCCACATCTCAATGCAAAACAGAAGCGGTATAGGACCATAACATAATGCAGATGGATCAACTTTTAGGGGTTTCTTTATGACATAAAGAAGTTTGTGCAAAACAATCCAAACATTAGCATTTCAGGTTATCTTTCAGCATTAACGGAATATTTAAACCTTCTAGGAAATATGCTTATTTGATAGTTATTAAGAGTTAAAAGGAAGATTGATACTCTTCTTCTGTATATTAACTAACCGGCCGAGGGTTAGCTTAGCTTACAATAGCTTAGCCCAAAGACTTGAAACACATGGAAACAGCTAGTCGAGCTCAGTCCAAAAGGTACCTAACCACCTACTAGAACCTATTTATCTTAAAAATACATGAATTAACACAATATAAATATATATAGCAGTAGTTGAATTAAAACAAACGTGTTAAAATGACACAGGAGGTTATGTACCAAACTTTTTCTAGAGGGCAGTGACTTGCTGCAGTAGATTAATATTTATGGTTCAGGCATGAGGGAGGTATACATTTTAAAGTGTAAAAAGTGAAGTTTTCCAAAATATCAAACTGATAGAAATGAAAAGTAGTATTTCTACGATTTCACAAATGAGCTATAGAAAGGTGTGTGTGTGTGTGTGTGTGTGTGTGTGTGTGTGTGTGTGTGTGTGTGTGTGTGTGTGTGTGTGTGTGTGTGTGTGTGTGTGTGTGTGTGTGTGTGTGTGTGTGTGTGTGTGTGTGTGTGTGTGTGTGTGTGTGTGTGGTCTGCTTTTATCTAGGTTTTTGTGCAGGAATTTACTTTCATGTTTAATTTGTTTGGATATTTCCTCTCTCTGCGCTATATCCCACATGTTCCTAAGGTTACTCATGTGACAGCGCAGCCACAAGATCTAAGCTCCCCCGAGGAATATGCAACAAGGATCTGGCCAGCATGTATATTTGGAGGATTATGGAAACGACTGCAGACACAGGGGTCTTTTGTTTCGGAGCCAGGGTGGAGAGTGTCATATGTTCAGACTGATAGAGAGAAAGAGAGAGGAGGCACGAGCAACCATGTGAGGTGCATTGTACACACTGCATGAGTATGCCATGTGACATAAATCCCAAGTGTGAGGTGCCTGACTGAGAGACTGTGAGATGCAGAACACGAATTAACATCTGTCCTGTAGCCCCAGCAGTCAGTAACAACACATGCTACCAGCGCTTCACTTCACATTGTGCTTTATGACTTGGGGTGTTCTGACCTTGCAGACTTTCCAGTCCACCCCCTTAACTTTCCCCCAAATCTCTCTACAGTGGAGTCAACTCCCTCCGTTCATATGCTAGCCATATGCCACACTGCCATCATTCAAAATGTCTACACGGATGTCTAAAGGAATAACCAAACACTGGCAAATGTGTGGGCATAAAATGTCCTCTTATCCTTGTTGACAGAGCCTTTTCCTGCTGTGCCATCAAAAGCTGAACCCATGACACTTAGTCGAGCATGTATGGTTAAGTGCTAAGACTCCAATAAACTTCAATTTTTTCCAGTTTAGTAAACAGCTTGTTTTTTCATGCAAAAATGACTTTTTTAAGATTTGCACAAGAGTTAATGTAAAAAATAACAAGGTTCTAATACAGACATAGTTTTATAGACAATATTTAAAAATCCTCCTCACACCTACTCCAATACATCTACCGTAATTTTCGGACTATAAGGAGCACCTGAATATAAGCCGCAGCAGCTAAATTGAATGATGTGTACATATATAAGCCGCACTGGACTATAAGCCGCAGGTGTTTTAATGTTTAATTACCATATGTAAGGGTTCGTGCACAGAGGGGATTGTCGGGAAAGAGATGGCTGTTTGAGGAAGCTCCCATTTATTAACATTTCAACAAACATGTTGCATATTTGCGTAACGTATTCCAGTGTTACCATTTAGTGCAGTAGTAGCTACAGAACATGTACTGTGCTGTGTAAACTGTACTGTATCACATAGCGTTTCAGACACACAAACTTTTCAACTTTCAAACTTAAACGGTGCGCTCCCAGCGCATGTACCGGCAGTGATCTACAGCAGTGGTTTTCAACCAGTGGTACGGGGACAAACTGTCTCGCTCTCGTAATGTCTGTCTGTCTTGCTCTCGTTCTGTCTCTCGTACCACTCTCGGTTCCACTTTTACTTTTGCGCGCT